CCCCAAAACCCCAAAACCCCAAAACCCCAAAACCCCTTCTTAAGTTCAAAACAATGACTATTATTATAAAATGGATAATATAGATGACTTCACTGCTAACCTTGAAGAATGCCTCAAGGATTCTGTCTTTGAGGAGAATATCTGTAAGAAGCCTAAGAGGCTGACTAAGAATCCTGGAAAGAAGCGACAGAGGAAAACTAAGGAGCAGATGAAGATATTGGAGAAATATTATGAACTCAATGAGGACTGGAGCAACGAGCTGATCGAGTTAATAGCATTAGAAACAAATCTTAAAGAAAAACAAGTCTCTAAGTGGTTCTGGGATCAGAAAACTAAGAAAACTGGATCTTATAAGAAGCCTAAAAAGGCAAAGAAGACTCAGAAAGCTCAGAAAGGGAATAAAAGAGTAAAAACTACTGATACTGAACAAATTGAGAATTTTAAAAATATTTCAAAGCCAGTAAAACCCAAGATCAAACCCAAACTCACGATTCAAAGTGTTCCACAAGTTGAGTATAAAGTAGAACCTATCAAACTCCAGAAGCCTTGTTTTGCTCCTAAACAACATGAGATGAAGAATAATAATAATCTTGGCATTAGGATTCCATTCCAGAAGAATCCTCATGAATCCAAGGTGAAGTCTCCTTCATTTCCTATTCCAAAGGACTTGCCTCCGAAAGAGAAAGAGATGAATTATTTCCGTCCTGAATTTAAGAAGCAAACTAACCTCCACGTTGGTAAGTGTGTTATAGTAATTGTCTAGATAAAATGGAAAATGATTCAATCCGTTCATCTAAGAACTCTAATAAGTCCTTTGGCTTCAGAGAAAGATTCTCGAAATTTTCGAAAATGAAGAACCTTAAAATCCAAGTGAACAACAATTTTGATGATAACAGGATGGACTTCAGAGCCGTACAAAGCTGTGTTTACCCAAGAGATCCTGTTATAAGAAATGAGGGAAAAGAGCTACCAGTCCCGCTTATATTATCTCGGGGTCATACACCTGAGATTAATAAGCTAGGATCTGGCATGAACATCTTTAGTTTTGAAAATGCTAGATCTCCAAACCCGATGGTCCCATTTGCGCCTTCTCCTAATAGAAGACCAGGTAATAAAACATGATAATATTGCCTTGTTTTTACTAATTATAACTTCTTAACTTTTGTGATAGTGCAATATGATGACAGACGGATGGGTAATCAAATGACTTCGGATTATCAGATGTTAGAGTCCCATAGTCCTTATAGACCAGGATTTCAATTTACGAAGCAATATGCACTTTCTCCTGCATTAAATTTTGATTCTTCATACAGAAGACCTGGAAATCAAAACTTCTTCTTCAATACCGCAGTGGTAAACCCTAATTCTATGGGAATGACCCCTGAAGCGAATCCATTTAAGAAGGATTATGAGAAGTTTAATCCTTGTCAGCCTCAAGATTACAGTGCTAATAAGATGAAAACCACTCAGTATTTTAACTTCGACCAGAACATGGTCCATGATATGAGAGGAAATAATCCATAAATACAAAAATAATCAATCTTGGTGGCGCTTTATGGGGTTTTGGGGTTTTGGGGTTTTGGGGTTTTGGGG